AATTTTAATTTTTCGTTTTTCAAAATGTTAGTCGGACTAAACACTCCGCCCCTGCCTGGTTCGAATCTAGACCGGGAACTGCCCGCTGGCCGCTGACCACTGTCTTTCGAGGTTTATGGTCAGTGTAGTTGAGACGTAAAAGCTAAAGGAGTTTGTGCTCTTAAATACACACCGGATAAGGTACACTTATGCGGAAGTAGAGGTATAGCTCCACTCATTCTTAACCTCGGCACTAGATGGAGGAAAGTGGTCAGCTTCACGCCCCAGTCATTTTATTCCCGGAAATGTCATCTGGAAAAAGAACTATTTATGGAAACTGAAGATTCTCCATTGTGGTCACAAGTGGCCGCAATTTGTCCCTAGCCTGAGCTAGTTCCGTCTCATTCACATTTACATATCTCTTTCTAAAAGACTAATTTTAATATTTTATCCTGTCTACAAATACATGCTGTTTCCAAAGTAATATTGTCCCTTAAAGTTTTCAACAAATATTTCGTATGCTCTTCTTGTTTCCGTTTTGCGAACACGGTAATTAAACTTCCTGTATGAGGATTACTTAATGAACTGAGTAACTATTACCTTCTGAAGAAAGATTCTGCACTCTACATATAACTCCTTGTTACAATAAGCGTATTACACTTTCTGTCTGTCTCATTATTTATTCGATTACTTGGCAAGGAGTTGCACGGCTACATTTTGTCGTTGTTGAAAAGTGTACTCCTCAGAGTAACAGAGTCTACACATCTTAGCAAGTCTCCCACCTGTGTTGGCCACAGGGAATCTGATCTGCTGTTTTGCTGGTCAGACGTGCTCTTTGTACTGGGATGAATCAAGTATGGCTGCAGATCCGATATTTGTTTGGACGTGGTGTGAACATATCACGTATCTTCTTTATGTTCTCGGAAGCGGAGATAGAGAATGGACTCCATTCAGATTGATTTCTACGTGTGTTGCAATTTGTGTGCAGCTGTGCAATATAGACACAAGTACCTCAAGACATACGAGACAGTTTTGTCTTTGCTTTGAAATGGTCATCGAGGGTGACAGCATCCTTTAAATTCTCTGTTTTGAGGGTAAACGTCGGAGATAAAATATTAATCTGGTCTCTTCTTGAAGTCAGATACCAGTAACGCTTTAGAGGTGTAAAATTCCTAATTTATGGCTTCGTAATGACGCAGAATTTATTTGTTGAAATGGTAAGTTTTAATTTAATAGAATGCGTTCCGGCTCCGTAAATATTCTCCTAAATGTCGAGAATTGTATATTATTAGCATGGATTTGAACTGAAAGTCTGTACAAGGGTCTCACAATTTGAACTGAGGCATTTTACTCATTCGGCCATTACAGGCTGTAACAGGATCTGAATCTCTGTATCGATAACTGCTTACTAGGCATTCTGTAACTAACCAAATAACAAAACTGAATACAGTAGCATTGTTCTTGAAAACCTGGTAGTCACGCAATTGGCCAAGATTTGCCCGCTTACATGGAATCCGAAGGACCATTACCATATTTACAAAAGCATACTACTGGAGGCAGTTGAAACATTCGTAATCACAACCTATTTATAAAATCCGCTTTCGAATTATATGTACTACCCTCAGCTTCACCTACATCTTTCTGATGTTTTTTTAACTTTCAGAATTTCAGACTAAAGTTTCGTACCAATTTTTTTATCTCACCAGATCACATCTTGTACATTTTATCCTGCTTGATTTAACCACACTAATCCTAACAGTCTGTGACCAGCAAGGAATAATATTGAAATAGTACACACGTTTGGGACCCTTCGTGGCTTACAAAATTGCAACTGTCAATTGTCAAGTCCTTGAGCTAAGTTGTAGACACACTACTTAATAGGAAGGATACTAATTAATGAAAAGGACGAAACGCTAAAGGCGTGCTCTCACCATTGTTTCCAAGCATTTATATTAGTCTTGCGCTGAGGTATCACAGGATGTTATATGCTGATGTCACTTCCTCTTTACTTGGTCTTCAGGTTCCTTCGGCATGTTGTTGCCAAGTGTCTGCCTTCCTAGAGACACAGAATATGCTCAACACTGAACGTCGTTAAACTGTAATAGAAATAGAACAGTACATGTCCGTCTTTAACTTAACAAATTATCATAGATGCATTGAACTTGGTGGAGTAAGAACATGTAAACTTATATTCCGTGTATAACTTCTAACGAAATTAATTTGGTAAAAGTTTTTAAGCCAATTAATTTTTACAAAAATGTTAAAATATAAGGCTCATGACTTGCTAGTTGACAGAAAATTTTATGTGGTTGTTAAAACGTGACCTTTTGCGTTAAGGAAAGAACGTAAATCATGTATTTTTGAATGAATTGCTCAGGAAAATATCTGGACCTACGAAAGAAAGATTGGGAAAGAGGGTTCCATTATAAGAAACGAGGTGATTTATGTAAGCCTCCTAACGTTGATGCCATACTAAAATGAAAAAGAGCAAGATTAAAATGAAATAAACATACTACTTTAACAGAGGAAAAATCTATCGATACAGAAATTTGATAAAATTCATAGAAAGCGATTACTTGAAAACCAAGAAAGGCTATGAAAGGTTACTGTTAACATGTTTCATACAGAAATAGGTTTAAGGACAAGAAGTGCATTATTATGTTGCTACAGAAGCCTCCAGGTGGATGTACATCCTCATTTTCCTCCACGAGCTCCTACTGTTACGCAGTACAACTCCCTGACTCCAATCAGCCCTCAGATTTGATTTGTGACGCAGAATCCCTCTTGACGGCATGTCAAGGCAACGAACCATTGCTAAGCGATTGCTAAGCGACGCGACGCACCATGTGCTGATGTAATTATTAGACCACAGTCGCCATCTTGTAAAGACAATTGCAATTGAGTCATTGCAATTAAAGCCACCCTTTTATAATAAAAATGCGAAAATCCTCGATATAAAACCTGGCTTTAGTATAATTTTTTTTCTGAGAAACACCTATTCGTATTTTCATCAACTAGAATTACATTTCCGTAACTAATGTGATTCGGTATCATGAAACTCCTCGATATCAGTATTTATTCGATATAGGCCTACTTATCAATTTTCTGTTTATTAAAAAAAACTATCTCTACGGGACGTACTGAGAAGCGAATAGTAGTTTATCTGACAAAGAAATTTTTAGCTTTATGGTACCGCAAGTTTAATTGCCGTGTTCACAAGAACCCGACAGTGAGCGCATTCATGAGTTCAGAACTTTAAATTACATTTATCTAATATTAATTGTAATATTATCCACACATTTGCGGCAAGTATTGGAAGTTGCTTTTCTCTGTAGATGTTCAGATTCAAATATTTTCTGTTTAGGTCTCTTTCTGATATCCCACATTCGTGCTACATGTCTCATCCATCTCATCCTACCTATCGAAATAACTTTGATGGTAACTGACGGAAAAATAAAGTTTTTCATATAAAGTTATGTGCGGTTGAAGATTATAAGCGTAAAAACATCTGAACGAACATGTTCTGTTATGCTGAAAGATGACAATATGGAACCGGCGCGAACTTTAAGGTTAGGAGACGTGCCGTTCCATTCGTTTTCTTGAAGCACACCCAGCCTGAGATATTAAAACGTCCTAGTGGTTGTAATCGCTGTAGCATGACAGAGCTGCACAGATCAGATACGTTGTGTTGTTTAGACAGGTAGACGGCAGGACAGCGGGCACACCAGACAGCCGAGAAATTATCTCATCTTCTTTCTTTTTTGTTCCTCCTTACGTCTATTTATTTACTTATTGCCTTTTCCTTTAATTTATTTGTATTCTTATTCCCCTTCCATCCCTCTATTTATCATAGCTAATGGGTGCCAGGGGCCCATTCTTTGACGGAGGTAAGCAGACCACTCACCACCCCCTACTGTCGAAGTGAAGAAGGAGTGGAGCTATACCTCCAATACCCCAGTCCTTCATAAGTATCAGATGCAATATGTATTTACTTATTCCTTTTTCTCTTTTGTCATTGCTATACATTCTTGTTTCTTTCTTCTCCAGAGCCCGTCCATGTATTTACTTATTCCTTTCCTTAAATTTTGTTTCAGTCTGTTTATTTTTTTTATTTCCTCCTTTTAATCCTCTCTTGCTCTCTTCTATGTCCCTCTCTTTTATTTTATTTTCTTTCTTCCTTTGTTTTAATCGCCTTTTCATTTCCTTGCTTTCTGCCTCCCACCGAATCGCTGCTTCTTTCTTTGTTCTCCTTTCCACCTCCGCCTCTACTTATTTTGTATTTATTCTTCTCTCTCTTCATGTCTTTCATTTGTATTTTTTCTCTCTCTTCCTGCACATTACTTTAATTTTTAGGTGATTGAGCAATCTCATTAGATATCCCAACTATGAAATTCGATCTTCCAGCCTTAAAAAGTCTCTTCAATCAGCCTCATCTCATCGGTCGCCCTAGTTTCGTCACCCAAGACAATGGACAATGCCGAATACTGTAAACTGGTTCGACACATTCTGTTAAGCTGCAGCGTCGGTCATGTATTGTTCACCACAGGACTAAAACCTGGACGCAAGTGGGCGTAATGAAACCAAGCGACTCAAATCCAAATATGGGCAACCTCTCAGGGACCACGCAGTTGCTTTCTGGCGCAGACGCTTGGTGCGTTTGTTTGCCTTATTTTCCGCATTTTATAAGGAGGATGCAACATCATATGTTTCCTACTAATTAAGGTTTCTCCTTCTCCCAGCTAGAGACATGCAAGTGGCTGTTCCCTGTTTCAACTTCGGACACCAAGTACACACTTATTAACCGATTAATGTGATTATTGTGAATGCGTCTGGTCTATGTTGAATATGTTAATTTATTGGGAATAACTTAAATTTTAAAAAGAGAAACACATAATGTTCTAGGGATTTTTGACCGTGTCAACGTAAATAAATTTTTAATGAAGGCTTCTCACCATACAGTCATTATTGAAATACTGTTCTGGTGAAATTGAAGTTTTGAGATATTCGTTATTTGTTTCCAGTTTTACACGCATCTGCTAAGCGTCGTTAAACGTCACGAAGTGGTGCAAGTGCGGGGAGGCAGAGACGGTGTTATCGCCTGGTGACAAATTGCGACGTCGGTTCGCGTGGGTCAAGCGGTCGGGGTCCGCCACATTAATCTTCATGGCAGCTTCCGACTTCTCCTTCCGTAAGAAAAAATATATATTTCAAATTGCTTTCAAGTGTGCTGGGAGCCATTACCTACACTTAAATTATATTTATTGCCTATATGTTTGTACTTTGTGTATTGAAATCAACAAACCGCTTACTCCATGGCCAATTGGTAACCTCCTTCTATGAACAAAACCTATGCGTGTCGTAACATATGACATATGCCACTGTTACATAAAATTTATTTGTGGGATGCTGAGGGCTTGCAGCAACCTTGTTATTGTTTTTAACATTTGCAAACCTGACTATTTCAGCCTTGAAGATATATAGCACAAATGTAGCCTCTTGAAAAACTAATATTGCTTAGCTGGTTACGAAATTCCCCTCCTTTTATGAAACCCGAAGGTTCATTACCGTAATCAAAGAAGCCGTCACTTTACCCTCTCCTGAGCCAGATTAATAAGATTAATACATTCCATCCCCCCACGGCCTATTTGTTTAAAACCTATACTTTAATATTACCATCCTCTTAATATCTGGAGCCTCCGAATGGCCCCCTCCATTCAGGGTTTCCGGCAAGAATGTTGCAGTTACTTATCCCCTTCCAATACGTTCTACATGCACTGTCTATCTAATACTTCTTCAAGATAGTTCTAATATTTAACGAAGAACAGCATTCAAATTATTAACCTCCTCATGATATTTCTTCCGTTTTGTGTCACTTCCTTACTCTTAATTTCAAATACTTGAAAACTCAGATATTTGCAAATAACGTGGCAACTTTGTGTTCAGACACCCACAATCTCTGTTCTATCCTTAGTGGAAAAAACAAATTTTAACACCGATGCAAAAAGTTAAAATTAGACCTACATATTTTTATATCTGGAGATGGAAAGATAAAATATTTTGACGTGACTGTTAGAAATAATTTCCCGAATTTAATATACTCTTAACTTATTCTTACATTTATTATTTTTTTCACCAATTAAAAGTTCATATGGTCAGTACGATATATGTAATCGTCTCCACGAGTCTATAGCAACAGTGTCGGACGTAAATGTATGAAAAATAAAGAATCCCACCAGTCGGCTTATGAATCCTTGTTGTGTTCACAAAATTTATTGGCTTCGTCAAAGTTTCTCTTTGAATTTCTTAGTTCGGTTCCGGTAAACAAAGTGCGAGGGCACCACTGTGCGGTGCCATGTGTCTTGGTGGACTTCCCCTGCCAGTAAATCTCCTCTATCTTCTGCAGTAGAAAATTAATCGTCCGACAAGCAATAAATCGTGTTCCAATTCTACAAACTGATACTTTATTTTATTATTACGTAAAAAAGAAGACCGTGGAGGAAAAGGCTTCACCTATAAGGCCATCTCTGGCCCCTTCATTGATTTCTTTTATCCGCAGTCCGCAGTGAATTTGTCTCCCTACCTGACAAGGAGTTGGGGTTCAGGGAGCACTTTTTAAAATAGTGGACCGGACTGTGCTGAAGTCACTGATCACTGATCATGAAGGGAGGTGCGTTAATTACTGCTGTTGTTGTGGAGGCACCAATCATTTTGCTGGAGGCGGTGCGGGGTTCGCGACTGCGCCACCCGAGGTCAAGCAGTGATGCCATTATAGCGGAAAAGTCACTAGTCTTGACACTAATATGTTTTTAAGTCATGGTTTTTCAATAAATGATTTTTTTTCGTCCCTTCCTTTCTAGTGTCTATCATGTTTCAGGTCAGTGGTTTCGTGAATCTGGCTCAACTATATTAGAACTGAAGCCGTCACTTTACCCTCTCCTGAGCCAGATTAATAAGATTAATACATTCCATCCCCCCACGGCCTATTTGTTTAAAACCTATACTTTAATATTACCATCCTCTTAATATCTGGAGCCTCCGAATGGCCCCCTCCATTCAGGGTTTCCGGCAAGAATGTTGCAGTTACTTATCCCCTTCCAATACGTTCTACATGCACTGTCTATCTAATACTTCTTCAAGATAGTTCTAATATTTAACGAAGAACAGCATTCAAATTATTAACCTCCTCATGATATTTCTTCCGTTTTGTGTCACTTCCTTACTCTTAATTTCAAATACTTGAAAACTCAGATATTTGCAAATAACGTGGCAACTTTGTGTTCAGACACCCACAATCTCTGTTCTATCCTTAGTGGAAAAAACAAATTTTAACACCGATGCAAAAAGTTAAAATTAGACCTACATATTTTTATATCTGGAGATGGAAAGATAAAATATTTTGACGTGACTGTTAGAAATAATTTCCCGAATTTAATATACTCTTAACTTATTCTTACATTTATTATTTTTTTCACCAATTAAAAGTTCATATGGTCAGTACGATATATGTAATCGTCTCCACGAGTCTATAGCAACAGTGTCGGACGTAAATGTATGAAAAATAAAGAATCCCACCAGTCGGCTTATGAATCCTTGTTGTGTTCACAAAATTTATTGGCTTCGTCAAAGTTTCTCTTTGAATTTCTTAGTTCGGTTCCGGTAAACAAAGTGCGAGGGCACCACTGTGCGGTGCCATGTGTCTTGGTGGACTTCCCCTGCCAGTAAATCTCCTCTATCTTCTGCAGTAGAAAATTAATCGTCCGACAAGCAATAAATCGTGTTCCAATTCTACAAACTGATACTTTATTTTATTATTACGTAAAAAAGAAGACCGTGGAGGAAAAGGCTTCACCTATAAGGCCATCTCTGGCCCCTTCATTGATTTCTTTTATCCGCAGTCCGCAGTGAATTTGTCTCCCTACCTGACAAGGAGTTGGGGTTCAGGGAGCACTTTTTAAAATAGTGGACCGGACTGTGCTGAAGTCACTGATCACTGATCATGAAGGGAGGTGCGTTAATTACTGCTGTTGTTGTGGAGGCACCAATCATTTTGCTGGAGGCGGTGCGGGGTTCGCGACTGCGCCACCCGAGGTCAAGCAGTGATGCCATTATAGCGGAAAAGTCACTAGTCTTGACACTAATATGTTTTTAAGTCATGGTTTTTCAATAAATGATTTTTTTTCGTCCCTTCCTTTCTAGTGTCTATCATGTTTCAGGTCAGTGGTTTCGTGAATCTGGCTCAACTATATTAGAACTGTTGGGTATATTACAATTATCAACACACCGTACTAAAAATCAAACAAAACTTTGACATAAACTGATAATTAAACTTAATACACACTGTACAGCAACGAAGTAAAGTCAGCTGAGAACCTGAAAAAAGTAAGGTCATTCGTTTGTTGTTGTTTTAACCTCTCTTCCTGTAATGTCTCTGTCACTCTTAGTGTTTTCCCACAGAAAACCAAGTTCCACCGAGTAACTGACCCTGTGTAGTAGATCTTCCAGCATCCGACAGTTTAGCATCTCTGTTCACAGTAGGATGTCCCAACTTTCTTCTTATCTTGGTTCAAGAATATTTTTCCCAAAGAAACTAATAGCCAGTTTTCGTTGTATTTAGCAATACTTGTTTATAAACGACAAATTACCGCAGAATACTTTCAAATAAATGTCATTTAAATGCGCACAAATTATTATAGTCACTTACATATTGTTTTAAATTTGCTTCTACAACAGCTTGTAAATAACAGTTTCGTTCCCCAGGAAAACTTGAATTATACTGCAGGGTTTTAAAGTCAATAGCATGTATGGTACTTGTACAAATTATCAGACGAGATAAAAATCACGATTTTATTCAAATCCTTCTGAGCAAATAAAATAAACTAACCTGTAGTAACTAGTAAAAATTTTAAAAATATATTCCGCGCGGCCTGATTGCAGGTGGTCTCGAACCAGATGTGGCTTACGGGCCGCCAGTTGTACGACACAGAGCTACATTAATAATTATTTGTCAGCGTGTTCCGCTAAATTATAATTTAGCGGAACACGCTGACAAATTGTTTAAAACAATTGAATCGAATCTCACGCATTTGTAACGCAGTTAAGACAAGCTTCCCATCACAATGAGGTGATACGCGGTCGCTTCCGTCTACGGCAATATTAGGCCCAAGTAAGAAACCGGCCACCCGCATGTAAAAGAGGGTGGCGTACAATGGCAAGCACTTGTCACAGATGAGCGGCGATACGTCACGCGACGCTCGTGTCTGCATGAATGGCGCGCGCCACAATCCCCAGGCTACACTCAACTCAAGGGTCGTGTATTCGAAGCCACGCCTGACGCTCTGCGTCTCTTTCCATCAATTTTGCATTGCTCACTTGCTTGGAGTTCATAAAGTAGAGACGTGTTCTTCGCGAACGAATGGGCGCAAAAGACAGTTTTCCAAAATGAAGGAATTGAGTGTGATGGAAGGCTGGCAATGTGTTCGTTGTTCGTTCTTCATTTGTAAAGTCGTTCTTCTGTAATCTCATGTCGGTTCCGATACAGACAAATAAACCGGATCGTTCCCTGCATTTATTTTCTAATGAACTCCGGTCGTGATAAAAGCATGACCCTCATACAGGTTGGCACTAGGCCCATTTCGATTGAATAGAATCACCATTACAAAACGTTAAAGTAAGATTTCATATTTTCATGGCGGCAAGTAGGAAGTACCGACGTTTTAGAGGTGCTTGCTGCTCCCATCTTCTGGGCGATCACCTTCGTAGGCCGGTCTACACAGTAGGCTGATCTTCAGAGTCAACTGCTGGTACAAGGGGTGGGAGGATGCAGGATTACAATCTTCCTTTATGTTATGCTCTGAAAGATATACCGCGTTTTGTTCTATCCTGACACAGACAAAGAGCAAGCAATGGTAAAACATCTTCATAGGCCAGGTGACATCCATTGAAAATCTATAAATTTTCTCATAAGTTTTAGTGACAGACAGACATGAGGATGTAAAAGAAGTCAGCCTTTCCTTGTAACCTATTTTGTGCTGGCCTAATCGCATTTGAAGGCCATAATAATTCCAATGAGTAAAAGGAGCTCAATGGTAGGCCAACTGTAAATAGGCTGCAAACAGATGGATGTTGGTATGCTATTCGAAGCACGACGAGCTAGTAGCTGCAAGCAGGAGCTAGGTTTCCATACAAGCCTGTGGAATGTGCTGAATCGAAGCTGAACATTAACATGAGAAAACATGTTTATAAAGTGATTAATAGTGTTAAGACAGGCCAACTGAATTTTATGGAATAAATCACTAATCATAGACCTATAGACTAATTAAGATAATTAGATACATATGAAGTTGTAGAAAGCAGACTTTTAAGGGTCACGTGCATAGAGATAACCGTTGAAAGCAGTAAAGCTAATCAAATAATACATCCCTATCGGAACAGTGGTTTGAATCCCGACAACACATGATATGAGAAATATTTACACCTACATGGTCCGCACCAGGCATTTTTTCAACACATAATGCTATACGACCATAAAAATTACTGGCTCTTATGCTAGTAATTCTGAGTCTGAGGTCCGTGAGTTGAGCAGATTTTGTTCTATTTTTTTTAATGTTATATTGTTTGCAATTTTTAAACTTTTGCTTCGTCACATTTTTCGCTTGCACGTTTTAGTAAAACGTTACCAAAAGCTATACCTTCTATCCATATTTTAGTTAGTCTGTATTTTGTGTAATAGAAATGTGTGTGATAATTTTAGGGAGGTAGAATCGCGAAACCAGAAATGTCGAGAGGAGAGGGGGTACACAGCACTAAAATGTTTCTGGGACTCTGTTGTAGATTACAAATATACCCCAAAATTGCGGGCCTGACTATTGAACATGAACATGGACACTATATGGGCTTACATTTTGCCACTTAGACTGAGTTTAAGATAACGTAAATGTAAGAGACCAGTGGTGAATGAGTTGGGTAAAATCCAGCATCTAACATGACCGAATTTTATAAAACCTGTAGGTTAATTTTTATGACTCAACAACGTACTTTAATTCTGGTGGCCGAAGGTCCCATTTACAAATATGATATAACCTATCCCATTATCCCCCTACCTCACTTCTAAAACTGTTCTAAACACCACGCATTCTTAACCACGGTAGCAGTCCGAGGCGACTGATTACCCTTTGGGAAATATCACCGGTGAACATTGGATAGGAGACTGAGGACTGCAGATCCGGTGTGGACGCACTGACGAAAGGAACAATCATTGCCAGGTATCGAACCTCGATCTTTCAGTCCATAGTCAGTCACTTTACTTACTGAATTATGCCTGCTCTCTCAAGCGACAGTGTTTGGCACATTTAGAATAATTAATGACATAGTTATAGGCCTGTAGGCTAATCTCATTACATTTCTGACAAACTAAGTTGTGCAGAAAATGTTCTTGTTTGTTAGTTTGGTCAGACCTATAGCCTACCCTTCTGCAATATTTACACCGAAGAATCTTTCTGGTATTCTTGCCTGAGCAGCCATCACGATTGTAATCATGGCTGCACTAATTCAGAAGTATGGTAAATAACGTACTTTATTTTGAATCGCCCTATGATTCGTAAATAGAATAGGATATTTTATTAAATGATGAAATCGTGCCTGTTGTCGACATTTCTATTTTCATCTCTTTCTGACATGAATATCATGGAGATTAAAGTTTGCTGTTTCTTTGACATGTGTAAATTATGTGGACAAAATTATACTTTCAACTTGTGGCAAACGAAACATGAGGAGCACGGGCATAGAACTTGAAAACAGTTGCTCAGATTTGTGAATAGCGCGCAGTCCTCTGATCTAGAGGACCAATTTTGATACTCGATACTGGTTTATATCTTATATAAAGACGATAATGAATATTCAAGTGTTACAATAACAGGAGGCGATTGGATTTTGCTGGTCCAGGATAGGGACCGGTGGAGGGATTTAATTAATCCGGTGATGAACCTTCGGGTTCCCTAAGCCATCTTGTTAGTTAGTTAGTCATAACAAAAGAAAATTCTTGCACAGGAACTTCTAAGGGACACATTTAATTAGCTACTCAATTAGATCTTTGGATGGTTGCGTTGCTTTCATTTAAGTAGTCTATTTGTTTGGTTATTTACCTCGTCTGCACTTGGGTAAAAGTTTTAATTATTTTATTAAATTTATCCACTGTAACTGTACAAGTAGTCATACCACAGGCTTTCTCGTGACGCTCAAATGTACAGCACAACACATCTTCCCATGTTATTTCTGACACTTTTACCATGTCCATTTGTAGTGGCGCCATGCTGGACCAGATACACCAGCCCCGCCTCCCCCCTTCCATTGGCCACTTACCTGGTGACGTCACGCCTGCAGGTGTACGGCAACGTGTTGATATCACGCAGTGTCACGTGATGGCGGCCATTACTTCCACGTTCTATTGTCATCTCACATCTGCATTTATAAGCCCTCTGATGCTGGACAGACTTTATAATTTTGCATTTCAGATGTCTCAAAATGATTTAACTTCCTCGAATGAGCAGAGACCTTTTTGAGAAACTGAGAGTGGCTCTTGAAAGTTTGCAACCTGACGTGTTATTACGTGTTCAAAAGAGCTCGCCACTGCACCAAACTTAAGCCAGATAAATCCATACCATCATATCTTATCTCCTTAAAATGCATCTTAATGTACCTATTTTCTTCCTTCTATGTCTAGACGTTCCAAGTTATGTCTTCCCTTCAGCTCTTTGACTAAAAAGTGTTCTTTGCATTTCACATGTCTTCCATCCGTGCTACATTACCCGTTCAGCGCATTCCCCTGACTAGGTTTGTATCTTCCAAACAGTAGGGCCTATTTGGCGAAGATTAGGCCTATGCTAGTACTCGAACTCATCACAAAATAGACTGTAGTCAAGGTAATGAAATTGAGGACAGGATGGGCTAGGCATTTAACATGCATGGAGGTAAGAAACATGCCTACAGACATTTTAGCCGGGAAAGATTAAAAAGAGAATAGCCGCTTGAGAGATGGATAATAATTCTCAAGAACAGTTCTTGAGAAAGCGATTGTCGCAGTGGAGTATTAGTTAGTTGTAAATGATTTAGAATTTTTTAAATAAAATTTCATTTTGAGAACAAAATTTGCCTGCAGAACATGTCATGATGATCTGACCACATCATCTGTCATTGTTCTACGTAAGTCTAATGAGTGAGTCCCGTGGTTTTACTGAGTGACAGACAGGTCATGTGACTGGGTGAGGGTTGAACTGTCAGCATAACGATGTGTCAGTTCTGACAGCGTCCACACCCATTCTCACCCCTCGCAAGTTGGACCTAC